TGTTGTTTTATTACGTTTATATATAAAAAAACTGAACAATTTGTTTTACACATTTACTCAAAGTTCACTTTAATGTTTGAAAATATTAACATATTTACATTAGTTAACATCAATTATCTATCTATCTATCTATCTATCTATCTATCTATTTGTCTATTTGTCTGTCTATCTATCTATCTATCTATCTATCTATCTATCTATCTATCTATCTATCTATCTATCTATCTATCTATCTATCTATTTGTCTGTCTGTCTGTCTGTCTGTCTATCTATCTATTTGTCTGTCTATCTGTCTGTTTATCTATCTATCTATCTATCTATATATCTATCTATCTATCTATCTATCTATTTGTCTGTCTATTTGTCTGTCTATTTGTCTGTCTATCTATCTATCTATCTATCTATCTATCTATCTATCTATCTATCTATCTATCTATCTATCTATCTATCTATCTGTCTGTCCATCCGGCCATCTATCTATCTATCTATCTATCTATCTATCTATCTATCTATCTATCTATCTATCTATCTATCTATCTGTCTGTCTATCTATCTATCTATCTATCTATCTATCTATCTGTCTGTCTGTCTGTCTGTCTGTCTGTCTATCTATCTGTCTATCTATCTATTTGTCTGTCTATTTGTCTGTCTATTTGTCTATCTATCTATCTATCTATCTATCTATCTATCTATCTATCTATCTATCTATCTATCTATCTGTCTGTCCATCCGGCCATCTATCTATCTATCTATCTATCTATCTATCTATCTATCTATCTATCTATCTATCTATCTATCTATCTATCTATCTATCTATCTATTTGTCTGTCTATCTATCTATCTATCTATCTATCTATCTATCTATCTATCTATCTATCTATTTGTCTGTCTGTCTGTCTGTCTATCTATCTATTTGTCTGTCTATCTGTCTGTTTATCTATCTATCTATCTATCTATCTATCTATCTATCTATCTATCTATCTGTCTATTTGTCTGTCTATTTGTCTGTCTATTTGTCTGTCTATCTATCTATCTATCTATCTATCTATCTATCTATCTATCTATCTATCTATCTATCTATCTATCTATCTATCTGTCTGTCCATCCGGCCATCTATCTATCTATCTATCTATCTATCTATCTATCTATCTATCTATCTATCTATCTATCTATCTATCTATCTATCTATCTATCTATCTATCTATCTATCTGTCTGTCTATCTATCTATCTATCTATCTATCTATCTATCTATCTGTCTGTCTGTCTGTCTGTCTGTCTGTCTATCTATCTGTCTATCTATCTATTTGTCTGTCTATTTGTCTGTCTATTTGTCTATCTATCTATCTATCTATCTATCTATCTATCTATCTATCTATCTATCTATCTATCTATCTATCTATCTATCTATCTATCTATCTATCTATCTATCTATCTATCTATCTATCTATCTATCTATCTGTCCGTCCATCCGGCCATCTATCTATCTATCTATCTATCTATCTGTCTGTCTGTCTGTCTGTCTGTCTGTCTGTCTGTCTGTCTGTCTGTCTGTCTGTCTGTCTGTCTATCTATCTATCTATCTATCTGTCTGTCTATTTGTCTCTCTGTCCATCTATCTACCTGTTTTTCTACCTATCTACCTATCTGCAGGTCTGTCTGTCTATCTATCTATCTGTCCATCTATCCATCTTTCTGTCTATCTATTAATAAACTCTCTCTCTCTCTCTCTCTCTCTCTCTCATTTCAAATGAGTGTGAAACATTATTCAGGATGTGGTGAAACAAGTTTATTTTTGCAGGATGTGGTCATTATTTTATAAATACCTTCACCGTGAGTCTGGGGATCCTCTGACTAGCAGCATCCTTCAACACGCAGTCCGCATCTGAGAAAACACCAACAGCGTGATGCTAAACACCGACACACTGTCAAACTTAGTGAATAATAATTGGGAAAAAATCCTCAAAATGTCCTTAGCATAGAAAATTACACACGTAACAACTCAAGCACTGACCTGGTGGAACAAACGTCTCGTTTGCCACATCTGAACCCTATACACACGCAAACAAAAGAGAAGTGGATGACATCATCAAACCTCTTTATTTTCACAAAGTTACACCCAAGTTGAAATCATATTAAATGGCTACATTTTTATGGAAATATCAGTCGTCTTGCCTGTGCAAAACCCACTGCCTATGATTCTGTAATATGACAAAGAACTTGTATCAAGAAAGTAAATGATTTCATGATCTCCAAAGGAGAAACAATGAAGATCATGCAGAAATGCCTTCAGTTTGCTCAACTTTATGGGAGAGGCCTCAAACACACAGCTGGAAAACAGATGTGGAGAGAGAGAGATTGTTCTGGCACAGACTCAGACTCAGAGAGGGTGAAGCGAAGCAAGACTGTAGTTAAGCTGTTTCTCATGACAATGCATCACTGTACTTGCATGACATTAAATGTAACACTGATTGTGTTAATGCAGGGCAAAAATACATAATTTAAATATTTCTCAATATTGCTGTTTTACTGTATTTTTGATGAATCCAGCGACAAGCCTTTTAGTCAGCGCTGAAACCAATAACGACAACTCAAACTATAACAACCAATGGAGTTTGTTTCCTTATTACTTCCATGGCAGTCTCTTCCAACTCGTGTGAAACTTGTTACGCTGTATAATATTCAATGTTTTTTTAATCTTCCACATGTCTGATAATGACTTATGATTTTTTGGGGGGTGAAATATGAAATTTTCATGACATTCCCTGATTTTGCAAGTAGTGTTGGCCGTGTGTTTACCTTTCTCATGTTCATCTGCTTCTTGAAGAGGTTTCCGAACTCTTTCTTTCTCTTGTCAGGGTCATCTTCCTCATCGCCACATTCCTCATCATATCTGAACACACACACACAGAGAAGCGCTCTCAGTCTCCACAGAATAACTGCCCTGACTCGTTCTGCTGCTTAAGTAACCGGTCAGCTGACCTCTCGAACCCGTAACCCTTCCTGCCTCCGGCGTAGAGTTCGGGGTTGAAGCCGAATGGCCCCGTGCTCTGGGCCGGGCCGGTGCTGGTTCTGATGCTGAGGGCGGCTCCTCTCGCCAGCTGAGCGCGGACCAGTTTGGGGTCACGGCAGAAGTCACATGACCCAGCGCAGTCGGGCTTCTGATTGCCAAAAAACTGTGAGATAGTGGCGTGTCTGCACCTGGAAATCAAGAACGACGGAACGATTTAACGGAAGCAAACAATACATGTTATTATTATTATTATTATTATCATCCACATTTGTTCTGAATGAAAATGCAATTTCACTCTCTGCCAGTAGGTGGCGCTTATGCAGAAATATAGCATTACCCTGGTAAACTGTTTACCACACAGCTGGATTTGATAGTACTGCGCACACACAATTTATTGAGACAGACAAGCAGTTTCAGCGGCAAGTTCAAACTAGACAGACATTACAGAGATACGGTACAGTCATATCAGTTATTACACAGCCTTTCGCCACATACGTAATTATGAGGATAAGAGATATTGATTTGAAACCGTTTTAAAATCATTCCTGTTTGTTTCTCATAATCCAACAGTGTACAAAACACTAGTCGCGAAATACGTTTGTATGGAACGAAAGAGAGCGAGTCCACGATACTGGATGAAACAAAATATTGATTTGACTGAGTTTGAATATTTTCTTAGCTCACCAAAAGCAAAGCTTCCACGAAGCAAAACCGAGCAAGCGTATAGCGCTGATGACTTTAGTAACCCAGAAGAGCCTGTGTTATGTGTTTTCAGCGGTTAACTGGGAATGCCATACCACTGGATGGCGCTATTGACCAATCAGAATCAAGTATTCCACAGCGCCCTCTAATAACGAACAATATTTTACATGACGGTTGATGCTCAGGGCAGCCATTTTGGATTCTGAAGTTGGGGTTGTTGGGGTTCCCAGAGTTTCCCAGGCGCAACTCTGACTTGAGGACATTTCAGTTAAAAGTTCCTACTGGGAACTAGGAATTTCCTACTTCCGAGGACAAACAACACACTTTAAGCAATCGCTCGGCATAAATGCGCGGTATTCATTGAATAAATGAATCTGAAAAGCATCACTACACTACTGATAATAGACAACGGACCTTTTTTGCCCACAAAACCTTACAATGTTTGAGCAGAATTTTTATTTCAACAAACTTTGATGACCATTAAAAGCCAACGGGCTCCTTCTGACTGAGTCAAAGTTTTCCGTCGCTCAACGACTTTGACCAACCATCGGCTTGGCGTATCAGGGCCTTTGGACAAACACCCATGCTGGTCACTAGCTATCCTTACATCCAAAGTTGCAAATTTAACTTAAGCGCAAAATTGGAATATCGCATAAAACGTGCGAATAAAGCACCGTTTCCATCCAGTCCGCCAATGAGAACAAAATCGCCACTTATTGATAAACTGGCGCTAAAAACCCCCAAAAATGGAAGATGCTGCTATAGTAGAAACTAGGGCTGGGTAATAAATATCGATTTCTCGATATTAATCGATTCTCAATTTTACGAACCGATATCGATTGTTAAATCTCAAGAATCGATTAGTCATCCTGTTTCATTTGAATGAATGGGACATTGTATCGCGGCTGCGCGCATCCCAAAAAATCGCAATAATCTTTGTCCTTTGTTACTATTGATATGAAACAAAGTCTCAATTTTCAAATTACGTCCATTTTCTTTAGAAATTCAAAAACATAAATAGTGTTTTGGCGCTGTGACGTGAGATCGTGAGCATTTTGCTAAATATATATACCATATTATGTGCATTATAATCTTAATGTTCTTCAATATTTAATGCATATTTGAATAAATGTTTTTTTTTTCAAGTTTTTATGACATCCACCATTTAAATGTTTATATTTCATATAATCTTATCTTATAAAAATAAATAAAAGTGTATTTTAAGTGTTTGTATAGCTACAAAACAGTTAATTATTACCTTCATATTAGGCTAAGGAAGCCTATAGGCTACAACTAGACTCCCATAGTTTACAGCATTAGTTAAGAGATTTGATTTCCTTGAGAAAAATGACCATTTATTGTAACTGATATCCAAAATAATCAATATTGAATCGAAATCGAATCGAATTGCAAGCTTGTGAGTCGAAATCGAATTGTGAAATTTGTCTCAATACCCAGCCCTAGTAGAAACCACTAATTTCGTATAAATTACTTCAGAACGCCCAGACGAAACGCAATAAAGTTATGCTATCCCCATCACGCAAAGTCACGTGACTTTTTAGATGCACAGAGGAATTTATTTGTTAAATGTGCTTCCATCGTAGTTTATGCGCATGTTTTCCTATTGGATAAAAAGTTAATCCGACTCAATTGAGCTCATGCGCATTTTTGGAATTCATGCGCAGTACGTGTTTCCATCCAGCGTTTTTTTTATTTAATGCGATATCTTAAAATGTGCATTAAAATAGATGGATGGAAACAGCTACTGTCTGAGGCCCCATCCGAACTACTGTTTTTGTTTAAAAACGGAGACCTTTTGCTACGTTTGCACCTCCCGTACAGACTAAAACGGAAAAAATGAACACCTAAAACGGAGAAATTTAGAAACGCTGCAGCCCCGTTTCGCGTTTTGAATCTCCGGAGGGCGTTTTAGTGAAGACGGGACAAAACAGAGGACTTTAGAAACGATGACGCAGAGGCTCACACTCGACTCTATGATTGGGTGTTATCAGTCATGACGTGTCCTTCCCTGATTCGTCAGCCACCCATCACATGACCCGTTTCCTGTTTACATCGGCACGCGCATGCCCAATGTTGGTAAATAGTCACGTGATCCGCGTTTTCTGTCGTTTTAATGTGGACGGAGATCAATTTTAATACGCAAATAAAACGCTGGTGTGGACGGAGATTGTATTCGTTTTAATTCTCCGTTTTTAAACGAAAACGCAGTAGTGTGGACGGGGCCTGATTTCACTGTACGTACGGGACACTGCCTCCTTTTGTGTTCATGTCAGAAAGAAAGTCAAAAGGGAGAGTAAATGATAACTTCTGTTTGAAAGTGTTCAAGTTTTTGGTGAAGTACCCTTTGAATGAAGAACAGAGGGTGTTTTCTGCAAAGTCTAACACATAAAGTGTGAACTCTAAAACAGAGACGTGCACTTCTCACTTGTCTCCTGTCAGGGTTTCAGGTTTCAGAGTCTGAAATAGTTGGTTGAGAGGCAGAACCCCCCTCCTCAAAACACATTCACATGGTCTGTCGCACAAAGACCATTACTCTGAGTGTTCACTACCTCTCACACTGACCACGCTTCTCCCATTAGTGACTTCCTCCTTTCTCACTGTAGACACTAGATATCTCAAAGCATATGCAACACATGTAAACAAATGCAGAAAAACCGACAGTAAAACGGATGCCACACTCAATTTATGACATGTTCCAAGCACACGCAACACTTATCTTTTTTTTTCATTTTTTTTATTTTTATAAGTGTTACTTTGAAACATCACATTGTTTCACACTTATAAGGTGTGAAAGTGTCATCAGCTTTTGGACAGCAAATAAACTAACTATAAATAAAGTGAACATATCTGGTTCAAGGTTGATCCCTAAATCAAATAGATAGTGTTTTTCCATAAGGAAATGGGATACACTTTATTCTACGGTGACACTGTCACAGTGCAATTATACAAACAAGAACTGAGTAATATTAATTACGTATTAAGTAATTACTATATAATTTGGGTTAGGTTTAAGTTCTTAGAGTTAGTAATATAGTTTTACTATAGTAAATAAATATATATATATATGAAGAGTTCAGATGCAAAAGCCTCTAAATGCCATTTGAAATTTTCTTCTTTAATGATGATTTTTATCAAACTTGTATATTTAAGTTCAGTAATTTCACTTAAATAACAATTAATAGGTAACCTTCATTGCCATTTAAGTGAAATTACTGAACTTAAATATACAAGCTTGATAAAAATCATCATTAAAGAAGAAAATTTCAAATGGCACTTAGAGGCTTTTGCATCTGAACTCTTCATATGTATGTATATATATATATAATTTTGTTTTATATATCTTTTAATATGTGTAATAGGGACACTGGAAAATAAAGTGTTACAGGAATATTAAGCCTATTTTATGAATGATGAAGATTTTTTTTGCTTTCTATAAGAATTTATCACCCAATTCTCTAGAAAATAAAATACATAAATGTATCTAGGACATATTTCAATAGTAAATTATTTTCGCTAATATTTATGTCGATTTCAATAACTGTAAAAATATAAATAACTAGGCCTAATAAATAATCAAAATACAATACAAATAATAATGTAAAAAATTATATGCTCCAAAAATAGGCTTCATTGTCTTTAGGCAAAATGCTTGTATATAATTTTTATTAAATATTAAAATACTTTTTTTTTATTTCTGACTGTGCGGTTCAGTCATTTTCTTTTTTTTTTTCTTTTTTTGACAAAATATTTTTACGTTTTCTTTTTTTACTTCATCGGACTGGTGTTTTGTGTTCACACTTGTGTTGAATTTTTCACAAAGTAAGATTAAAACATGATTTGTAATATATGTTTTCATAGCAATAAACTTAAACTTCTTTTTAAACTTTATTCACTTTAGCAATTATCTGCCATGTGCCGTCTTAAAAAAAAGAGACCAAACTCAAGTCTGTGCTCCAAACCATTCAAAATTTTAAAAAGTGAATAAATTGATCATAACTACTACATAAATATAATTTAGTACCGTAAAAAAATATTAAATAAACATTAATCGAAGTAAAAAATCTAAATTAATTTCATTCAACAAATAACAAAAAATATCTGTTTGATTTTTTTACCTCCAAAAGAGGAGCACCAGAGGGTTAACAACACATTATATAAGAAATATTGATGAGTGCTATTGAAAAACAAATGTCCTACTTTTTAGGTCACTTGTTTTCTTAAATGCAGAGCACGCACAAACACACACACAGTCAGTTTCAAAAGCTCTTCAAGACTTTGTTTGACAAAAAGAGGAGGAAAAACTGTTTCCACAGTGATTTGAGGGGAGGAGAAAAGACGGGGCCAGACAAAAAGGGGGTGGCGATGGATGTGGTAAACAGAGAGAGAGAGAGAGAGAGAGAGAGAGAGAGCTACACAGCCCAGCCCAAAAGACTCGTTATACTGGAAAACTCAAAGACCGCAGGCCAAACACATCTGAGAGACACTCAACAACTGTATGACGGGACAGGGCGCTCTAACGGACCAAGCTCACAAACCAGGACAGATACAGGGGACGTGAACTACAAACTGGATCAAAGGTGAGCGGAGCAAGATCTGCGTGTGTGTGAGTGTGTTTGGAGTGACCGTGAGCATTAAAATAAAAACTTGGTCTTAGTCTGTGCATCAAAAACTTCAGACATTTACAAGAAGAGATGAAGTGGAAAGTCGTGAGTCTGCAGCGTCCAGCAGAAGTGTTTGGACACACAAACCACACTTGAGTTTTTTATAAAACATTATTATAAAGTAAAGCTGGGTGATACATCCAATATAACCACTATTTTTGCCTGAAATATAAAAGTTAGCAACTTTGTAAAAAAAGGAAATGATTTTAATGCATCACATGCAGTGCACTTTCTGAAGAGTTGACTCACTATTCACAGGAACGACTGATTCACTTCCAACAATTGGTTTGCGTCATAATAGTGAAAAAAAAAAGTTGATAAAAATGCAGCGGTTCATTGTTCTTTCATGTCAGATCTGGTCCATTATATAATATGAACAGATGCAACTTTTGATTGAAACGATGTAGGAAATCTTGAAATTAGCATTACGTTTGTCAAATGCTTTAGAAGTATTTCTCATTGTTAGTTGATGTTAATGTAGTTTACTAACGGAGCCTTATTGTTATGTAACTATGCATTGTTATATAGGAGCATATTAATAAAAGTGATTCCATGTCATTCTTCGTCGAACAGTGTTGGAGTTCATCTCTTGATTTTACCGTTTTTCTCTTACAAATTACAAGCAAAACATTTCCTAAAACGATGATTGCTAGTTCATAACCCTAAAATTATCGCAAATTGTTTAATAAATAAAATGATCATGAACTCGACGGTGAAGAAAAGTGAAGGTCTTGCAATTATCCCATTTTGTTGTCTAATATGAAGCGTCAAATTTAACATTTAACATTTTTTTATGATTTACAATTGCAGAAGCTAATTCACATAACGTTCACAAAATATGATTTGCAAACGAACAACCGAATTAAAACTCAGATTGCTTTTTTTTAGATTCAATATTTTTGCACATTCCTGATGTTTCGACATGTACGAACTGATTGTTGAATCCGTCATATGTGTCAATCAATATTTGTGTGAGACTTTACACCGATAAACAAATTAGCATTTTCTTTTATTTAGCATAAAAATTTTTATTTAGCATAAAAAATTTAGCTTTTTTTTTTTTTGGAAAAACTTTAACCAATCAGATGACAGTTTCAGTCCAACCAATCAAAATATGCTTTGATCAATGCTTTGACTCAAAAAGCATAACTTTGCATGTGCCTTCAAGCAACAAAAACAACTTTTTATTATGAAGAAAATGTTAATTCACTTTTATGCCAGTAGGTGGCGTTTCATAAACACACGTTATTACGCACTGTAAAAATACTTTTGAAGACAGTCATTTACTTTTAGACATAAAGAATATAAAATAAAAACCTTCCACACAATACTAATCGGATATGCATGAGTCACATGACTGATATTCCAGTGCCAGAACGACAGGTAAACATCATCATAATCAATCAATAATACAAAGTATTGGATTGTGAACTGCTGAATCCCCTCCGCGTTTTTACTTTAAATCCTTTCGGAGCTCCATATTCACGTTATTCATCGTGATTCCTGTTTTATTAAAATAATTAAGACTGTTTGAGATATTCAAGACTTCGTATGGCCTTAAATTTGCTGAAACTGAATTCAAGACTTAAGTTAAAACCATCCCGAAATGTGTGAAACAGTGAAATGTGTTTTGCATTTCTGCTTCTTTAAGCATTTAAATTTGGTTTTGCAATTGTCTTTCGTGAATATGAATAGGATATGAGATGGTTAATTGCTGTTCACATGCTTTTCTTAAGATCCACAGTTAACAAAAATACATACTGTATATATATCAATTTACTGGGATTGTAAAAGCGTTAAAGGGTTAGTTCACCCAAAAATGAAAATTCTGTAAGTTTTTACTCGCCCTCATGTTGTTCCAACCCCGTAAGACCTTCGTTCATCTTCAGAACACAAATTAAGATATTTTTGAGGAAATCTGAGAGCTGGATCACTCCTCCATATGCTTCTTGAGGGATAGAAACTTGCCGGCCTTGAAAAGTTATTAAAGACATCGTTAAAATAGTCTGAGTGACTACAGTGGTTCAATCAAGCGTCGAGAACAATTTTTTGTGCGAAAAACAACAAACAAAAACAACGACTTTATTTCAACTACTCACTTCCTTCTCTGTGGGCCTCAAGTCAGTTAAACTTGTGTGATAGCGTAGAGCTACGTCACACGTAGGCTCACTATTGGCCGACGCTGGTCATGTGTGTGATGCGTGACGTACAACAACAGAAGCTTACGCTGTTACACTAGAGAACTCACTCGAGGCCCACAGAGAAGGAAATTAATAGTTGAATAAAGTCGTTATTTTTGTTTGTTTTTTTGCGCAACTTCTAATAAGTAATTAATTAGTTATTAAAGAGTAACTAAACACTTAACCAACTTTTTTTAGTTAATGTCCTGTAAGAATGGATTTTTATTAATACCCGTCATTGATTCGAGTAACCTTTTTGACATTTGTGTATAAAGTGTTTTATTTCAACAATATATGGTGTAAAAACGTCTTAGTGCCGCCCTCTTCAGGTTAAACGCTGGCTACTGCAGTTGAATTTTCCTATTGGATCTTCCGCACTTCGTGACGTATGCGTTTCAGCTCACCACGCGAGCTACGCCCTTGGCAGTATAAAAACCATCTTGTGTCGTCAAAACCACTGTAGGGAGTCAGGAATTGGAATTGTGAGTATTGAAAACGATCAGGATAGAGTGTTTTAGCATCTATTTCGTCCCCTATATCTCCGCTGGGGTCAGCCCACTTTTTCAGCATTTTCAAATATTGCCAGTGGGTGGAGTCAGGCTCTGACCAGGGGTTTAGTTACCCTTTAATTACTGACAGAACTTTCATTTTTGAGTGAACTATCCCTTTAATGGCTGCGTCTGAAATCGCATACTCTCCTGAGTAGGTACTTAACTTGAATAAGCACTTACCCTATTTAGTCAGCGCTAGAAAAGCATGTTCTAAATAGTATGAATGTAATCTGTACATAATACATCAGGGGCCGGTTTCACAAAGCTATTTTAGACCGGTCTATAGTGTTAGACAAGTCTAAAATTTGCTCATAGACTAGTCTAATGCAAGTTAGACTGTTTCACAAAGATAAAGACTGACTTAATTTAGACAGCTTACCCCCAGGCTAACTCAGGTCTAAGACTCTGTTACCTTGGCAACCAGCAGTAACAATTAGTTGCACTACAAACAGCCGAAAGAAAAGGGAAAACGAAACAGAACTAGAACAGAATGACATTCATACAGTCATCGCATTCGATACAGGACCATCTAATCTCAGTTTAACGGGAAACAGTGCTGAGGAGGATGATTCTTTCATCAGCAGAGTTTATACAGCGATGGCACACCCAACCGCGTCTCTCCTGTGGAAACACACCCACGACGCTGCAGAAATGTAATGACAAGCTCAACTAGCAGGTTCTGTTTTTTCCAGCTTCATTTTTCAGCAAAACCACAGGAAACATTCTGCCAGGCCTCGGGTCTCAACTACAGCCATTTACTGGACTAATAACTGGCAACGCAAATGGGACAAATTTATATAAACAAACTAATAGTTCTCATATGCTTAAAACAGCCTTTTGTCAATACAGAGTTTGCATCATGCCTCTGAGAAATGCTAATCTATTAACTTTAGCCAACAAAACATGAATCCAACCTGTTTTTCCCATAGATGTCCCCCAAATGTCCACAGGAAAATTTGTACTTATTTAAATAAATAAATAAATAAATAAATAAATATATATATATATATATATATATATATATATATATATATATATATTCAAATAAGTACAAATTTATATATATATTTTTTTTTAATCAAATCTATGGACACTCTTAGGTCGTGTGTCCACCAAAGCGTTTTTCCACATGCCTGGCGTATGTTTTCAATTGTTTTCAATGGGAGCGCCACGTTTTTTTAACGCCATGACCGTAACGAGGCGCTGAGCGTTTTTTTCACGCTGAAAAAAGCATGAAAAAGCTGTCTGTAACTTGTGACTGATTTCGCAGATAATTTGATTCATACTAAAAATGTATTTTTCATCAATTTTGTTCGGTTAGCTCTGCTGGTTGATGTCGTTGTACAGAAAGAGTGTTGTGACAGTTGGTCGGTGTGGTATTAGTCCCGCCCCTCTTCCACTGTGATTGGACGGCTGGGTAAAAAGTGACAGTGATGAGCGCTGCATTTTATCCAAAGTTGAACATTTTTCAACTCCCAGCGACCAGTAAAAAAATGCTGGGTGCTCAGCGCTTCAACATGAAAAAAACGCTCAGCGCCTCGTTACGCTCATGGTGTTTAAAAAACGCGGCGCTCCCATTGAAAACAATTGAAAACGTATGCCAGGCACGTGGAAAAACGCTTTGGTGGACACACTAACAACAATGAGGAACATTTACATGAAACCATTTTCAACTAAAAACAGAAAATCCTTTTTAGCCGTTCATTTACATGAGTTTTGGGGACCTGAAAACGTAAACTTTTGAAAATGGGTTTCGAAGTGCAAGTTTTTGAAAAAGACATCGTTTTTCTCTCCGCATTAACTACTAAAACGTGTATCTGTGAAAACGGTGATGTCATGCGCATATGTATTACGTGTTCGTTCTATATGCGTTTCTTTACAAAGTGACATCGCCAACTACTGGCCAGGTGTGATTAATACAGCGATGGATCCGCATGAACAGGATCATTTTGACAATGCTGTCGCCTGTTTGCTAAAAAGAACATTTCCATTTTTAGTACATTGTTGCTGTGCAAACATGCCCTAAAATAGTCATAGCACAATTAAAATAATTAAATTTCACGATTTCACGAGTTTTAATAGCTGAATGTTCTCACTCTTTTTAATGGAGCCAGTGCTATGGCATTATGTTTTATTGTCATTTATTAATTGCTGTGTGATTTAACATCTTGCCAATGGACAACAGTTGAAAATTAGCCTGCTAGCTAATTAGCCTGCATAAATGTTAATTAATGTGCACCGTCCTAAAATAAATAAATTAAATGAAACCCATGATTTTACATATGGATTTTAATTGAAAACTCATATAATTGGTATAAAAATGCCCATGACACTTTAAAATTTTTTTTTTTTTATGGTCTAGAGATATCACTTTTAAAATGAAGCTTCTTCATACAGTATATCCAGGTTTTAAGACCATGTGAATACTGTTCTTCAAATAAAAAATTAAAATAAAAACCCTTTTTGAGGGAGAGGGGAAATTAAATGAGAAATGTCTTAATATTTACATTTTTTAAAGCTTATTTTAAAGCTAGTTTTGTCTTATTTTAAGTCATTTTGAGGCCCGGCACCCTGCCACAGATCAAAGATGTGCTATTTGATTTCAGATCGTATAATCATATAATAATCAACATAATTATATATTATAGTCAGTCTTTTTTGACTGTTAAACTGTACACTACAAAACATTTACATAATAATAAACTGGCAGCTGAGGTCACCATAAATAATTATTTAAAAAATACAGTAAAAATGATGTTACAGAACAGCTTACAGTTTAAAACCGTTGTCATTTAAACAACAACAGCAACACTATTCAGCTGAATCAGCAAGACCACACACAACAGCTTTCCACTGTGAATAATAAGGTGATTTGCCTTTATACATTTACAAAAACAGTATATTTAAACTGTAAAACTACACGAAATGTATAAGGTTAGATCTATTGCAGTTTTTCCATTAAGAGAACTTGCCTTTAACCAATCAACAGATTTTTACAGTCGCATTTGTACAGTTAAAATTGTGATCACTTGTGTGCTTGTGTTCAGGCCAGGATGGGCGCTTCAGAGGACATGATGGGAATCCTCCAGAGCGTCCGGACCAAACTGCAGGCTCTCCCCCAGGAGCACTACCTCACACAGACGGCGTTCGTCATCATCCTGCTGTTCTTCTGTAAGCGCCGTCTTCTTCCTACACTGGGCTGTCATTACGTCTCCAACACGAGGCGGAGGGGCTATAAGAGGCTCTGCTGTGATTACAGGCCTCCACATCCATATTTATCCTGCTATTTTAGTGAGCGCACTGCACTTTAATTGTGGGACTGTAGTTGTTAAAGTAAGGGTTTCTGACATCAGAGTCGCTGTTTTTTTGTAACTGCGAAGAAAGTTTTAAGTTCTCAAAGTTACAGTTTTATAGTATACGTAGCACTTACTTTTACTATACAATGACCTCACTTTAGATTCCTTAACAGCCTGACATGAAGGTTAAAGTCAACATGATATATTGGAGTATTTATTACAAATTGTCATGGTCTGTCTGAATACTCGATTCTGATTGGCTGGAAGGTAGATCCAGTCAGTAAATCTGCATGTTTTCTTCCTCTTCCAGTGACATTCATCACTCTGCTCGTGATTGGATGCGTGTACGGCTGCTGCGGCTGCTGCACTGGCGGGTCCAGAAACAAAGTCTCTGCCGTCTGAAACACGGCGATACAACACACCACAATGGGCCAAAATAAAATCTAGTGGAGTTTGATAGTTTTGTTTGTGACCGCTGTGATATACTGCACATTACAGCGATACAATTCAGCCACTGTGAAGCTGCATGGACACACACCACGCATCTCTACAGTCACGAAGCAGAAACAAGCATCTGGCTGAGGATCATGGACCCCTTAATCATGGAAGTCACAAATAAACACTAAATTCCCATCCCCTGTCATTATATGAACGGTAAACCAGTGGCTGCCCTCTGCTGGACACTAATGCAGTCACGGATGGAGATGCAGGAACAAGAGATCTCCGGGCAATACCATTCAAAAGTGTGGGGCCAGTAAGATTAGCCAGTGCAAAGGCATTAAATTGATCAGAAGTGTCAGTAAAGACACGTATTATGTTCTAAAAGGGACTTTCTATTCATCAACGAATCCTGAAAACGGTCTCAGTTTTCACTAAAATCGGAAAGATTGCGCAAAAAAACTGCTTTGATAATCATAAATGTTTCTTAAGCAGCACATCAATGATTTCTGAAGGATCATGTGACACTGAAGACCAGAGTAATGATGCACATTTTTACAATATATTCATGTAGAAAACAGCTATTTTAAATTGTAATAATATTCCACAATATTGCCGTTTTAACTTGATCAAATAAACGCAGTCTTGGTGAGCAGAAGAGACTTCTTTCAAAAACATGAAAAAACCCCAAACTTATGAAAGATAGTATCTGATATTTTTTTTTTAAAATGTATTACTTAATACTACTATGATGTTGTGCTAAACAGAGGAAACTGGACCTGAGACGCTGGAGAAATAAAATGTAAATAACCAAATATGCTTAACAAAAAAAAAAAAAAAAAAATTTATCTTGTGTATTTTTTATCTTGATTCAAATGAAATGCATTGTATGCATATAAAGTGATACAAAATATTCAAGCATGTTTTTTTTTTTGTTTTAATAAACATATATTACGCCGTCGTCTGTGTTTGGACTCACCCTTCTTGCTCACAAAAAGCAACCATCGCCTCGAAGTCCTGAATGGGCGCCTTGTCCTGCTCTTTCTGCGCTCCTCGCTTCTCCTGAATTCAGACACAATGAATGTCCACCTGTAAGTGCTCAGAAGTATGAAGACGTCCGGATGGGATGCTGTTCCTGACCTGTTTGCGCGCGATATCCTTGCGGATGAGGAAGCCGAGCTGGTCCCTGTCTTTGTGGGAGTAGTAAATCCTGCAGGACGACGGCAGTCCGTCTCGGCCAGCTCGCCCCGACTCCTGATAGTAACTGGCCAAAGATTTCGCCACGTTCCAGTGAACGACAAACCTGAAAGCATACACATGCAACATCAAACACAGTCAAGCACAGATGCGAGAAAATGAGCTTGTCTGAAATGTCTACAGATTCATCAACTCTTCGAAAAATTGTAAAAAAAAATTGTTTTTTGTTGTTTTTTTACTTTCTCGGAAACACACAAAAAAAATCATGGGCATGAATTAAAAAAGTTTTTTTTTGTTTTTTTTTTTGAGTAAAACACATTTTATAAAATATAAAAATAATTAATAAAAATATTGAAAAGTATTTGTGCATTTTTCATAACAATAAACTTAAAATTCTATACTATTTTTTTCACTTCAGCAATAATCTCTAAAATCTGCTCTAAAACATTCCAGATTTACGACTGGATTAATTTGGAAATGTAATTTTCATGTCTACATAAATATAATTTAGTACCATAAAATCGCCTAAAAGTACAAAATATTAAATTAAAAACATTATCGAATTAAAAAAAATAGCTCATTTTTGAAACACGTTTAGATTTATGGCTTTAATTTTCACATTTTTGAAACACGTTTAGATTTATGGCTTTAATTTTCACATTTTTGAAACTTGTTTAGATTTATGGCTTCAATTTTCTTGCAGTTTTAGAGTAAAACATGTTTTGGACAAAATACATTTCATATAAAAATTGAAAATATCATTTTTGTGCATTTTTCATTAACTTAAACTTCTATAACATGTTTTTACGTTAACTTAAAAAAAAAACTCATTTCTGACCGCCACACAAGGAGAACCAACTAAAAATTTTATTTAGGGACCATAGTCCTTTGCACCTCAAAAAAAAAGTAATAAATGAAGCAATGAAGCAGCACAACTGTTTTCAAAATTGATAATAATATTAAAAGTTTCTTGAGTATCAAATCCTCATATCAGAGTGATTTCTGAATGATCACATGACACTGAAGACTGGAGTAATGATGCAAAAACTTTCAGCTATGATCACAGGAATAAATAACATTTAAACAGATATTCAAATAGAAAACAGCTACATTAAAGGGGCTATATGTAGGTTTTTACTTATAAAAAATCTTTAAGATTGAGTCTTCATTTGTACATTTATGAGCCAACCATAATGTAATAGAAAGAATGACACCTTGACTGTCCACCAAGGTTGCCCCCAATTGCGAATTGGCGTGAAAATTCATAAAATGTGACGTCATGCGCGTTCTCGTCAACTTGGGCTTACATCCGTACGGCACCCATTAGTAAGCAGTAGTGTTTCACATGGACGAAAAGAAGCGACCAGCCTCGAGCACAACCCAGATACCCACGAAAACTCCTCGTAAAAAAAATAAAAAAACGTAATCTAGAGCGGCCAACAAGCGTGGTCACCGAGAACGAGCATAAGACTGGCTGCAGTTTCTCTAACGGCCACTGGTGTCAGTAACGGTTAGAAATTTCAGAACTTCCGCAATGCTCCTCTAAATTGTAATAATATTTCAGAATTGGACCGTTTCTACTGTGTTTCTAATCAAATGAATGCAGCTTTGGTGAGCAGAAGAGACTTCTTTCAAAAAAATAAATACATTCCACAGACTCCAAGCGTTTGAACACGAGTGTACACTTACGATGAGAAACTCACCTGACATTGGCCTTGTCCACTCCCATACCAAAACTGATGGTGGCCACAATAACAGGCACTTTATCAGCCATCCACTCAGCCTGACTCTCCATGCGATCGCCCGCCTTCAGCCCTAGAGAGAGAGATCACAGAACCCAGAGTGAGCTTCCCATGCAAACACGCACAACAACAGAATACACAAACATCTATGAAGCACAATGAGGATCACCTGCATGGTAGGGCTTGGCGGAAATTCCCAGTTTAGTCAACTTATGAGCCACTTCCTCACAACTCTCTCGGGTTCGACAGTAGACGATCCCACATCCCTGCAAAACAAAAACAGCTTTGAACATTATATCATCTTGGTTTATGTGTTTATAAACATCAAGGAATACTGTAGTTTAGCAAAAAATGGAAATTCATAATTTTCTCACGCTCACGTCACTGTATGATTGAACTTGCAAGCATACATTTTATTTTTATATTTTTTTCCACTCTTATTGACTGGATAAAATGAAGCTTCATTGCTCTGAGAGGAAGTGGTACTGGTTGAGAACAGCATGAGGGCGAGTAAAACATAAACAGTGACTGACCTTTTCGGCAGTGTTTCCGCCCAGCGCCTCTTTAGCAAACGCAAGCAAGTGGACGTAAGGTTCAGGCAGCAGATCCCGGAATATCACGTCATACTTCAGGTTCTTCCGGAAAACCGGCGTGGCGAAATGGAGTGGCGAGCGCAGTTTGAGCGAGCGCTCGATGTCTTCCTGCACTCTCTTGGGCGCCGTGGCTGTGAGCGCCACGCAGGGAACGTCCCGCAGACGCGAGCGCAGGTCGCCCAGCTTCAGGTAGTCCGGGCGGAAGTCGTGCCCCCACTGGGAGACGCAGTGAGCTTCGTCCACCGCCAGACACGCCAGGAGACCGCGCGAGCACAGCGAGCCCAAGCAGGGCTGGAAGGACGGAGACGCCACCATCTCGGGAGTGATGTAGAGCAGCTTGAGCCGAGGTCTCTCGCTCTCCAGATCCGCCAGGATCTGCCGGCGCTCAGCCAAGGGAAGCTTGGAGTTGATGGATCGTGCGGGAACATTGAGAGCTTTCAGGTGCTCCACTTGATCCTGGAGAAACATGATGAATCAACACACGCTTACAAAGATCATTTCTCACTCATGTAAACTAGTGATTGACTCGTATTTAAATTAAAGGAGTAGTTACTTTTGAAAAAACTTTTGCTGATAATTTACTCACCCCCATGTCATCCAAGATGTCCATGTCTTTCTTTCTTCAGTTGAAAAGAAATTAAGGTTTTTGATGAAAACGTTCCAGGGTTTTCTCCATATAATGGACTTCAATGGGAGCCAGACGGTTCAAGGTCCAAAAGATAGTTTCAGTGCAAACTGTTCAAAGGGTTTTAAACAATTCCAGACGATGAATAAGGGTCTTATCTAGCGAAACGATTGTTCATTTAAAAAAAAAGTGTAAGTTTTATAAGCTCAAATGGTCGTCTTGCTCTGTTCTGTGATGCGCGTTCGTGACTCTCCTGTTCATCAAAATGAACAAATCTTTTTCTGAGTCAATTTGTTCGTTTCGTTCGTTGAATGAACCAAATGACTCGAAAAAAGATTTGTTCGTTTTGATGAACGAGTTCGAACAGGAGAGTCACGAACGCGCATCACAGAACAGAGCAAGGCGAGCGTTTGAGCTTATAAAACTTAAACTTTGTTATTTATTTATTAAATGAGCGATCGTTTCGCATGATAAGACCCTTATTCATCGCCTGGAATCGTTTAAAGCCCTTTGAACAGTTTGCAGTTTGCACTGAAACTGTCTTTTGGACCTTGAACCGTTTGGTTCCCATTGAAGTCCATTATATGGAGAAAAATGCTGGAATGTTTTCATCAAAAACCTTAATTTCTTTTCGACTGAAGAAAGAAAGACTTGGACATCTTGGATGACATGGGGGTGAGTAAATTATCAGTAAAAGTTTTTTTTTTTTAAAGTGAACTACTCCTTTAAGGCCAGACACTACAGGCAAAAACTGTGTTTTTATGCATCTTACAATTTTGAGGTTTTGGGTATTTCATAAAGTGTTTTTTTTTTTTTTAGTGGACAAAAAACATCCAAAATACACTTTTACCTGCATCTTTTAGAGCACTTTATCTATTTGCATCTTTAGAAATCAATTACAGTGTATATCTTAAAAATTATGAAGACTTTCCTCCTACATTGAGCCAGAAATCTCCACTTCAATAACACTTACATATAAAAAAACTTCAAAGTTTTATTCTGTACATATCCCAAACATTTTGAAAGGCAGTGTATATATATATTATAATTATAAATTAAAAAAATAAATAAATGTATATATATATATATATACATTTTTTTTTTTATTTATAATTATAATATCTTAATCTTCCAGTGGCCCCTGGTTGAGAACCGGTTTGCTAAACTCTTCTGCAGTAAATTAATTGCATGTCATTGTTCACTTATAATGTGAACCCACACATGGACTACTAGACTATATTACTGTTAAATATATGGAGCTCAATAATCACTCTTGGAAACACACAATAGTGTGTAGATAATGACAGAGGCTGTGTCCGAAATCACACACTCTCTTGAGCAGGTGCTTATTTTGAATAAGTAATTACTTCACCGACAACTGCTAAAAAAGTATATTGTATTATAGTTCGAGTGTGTGTAGAATGAATATAACCTTGATGTACTACATACACCGTGTAGACATTATCATTGTCAGTTGCGTAGTCATTGTCAATCAGTATACACACTCTCAGTATCTCATCGGAAGTAGAAGGTCATCCGGGGACTTTTTACCTCTTTAATGACTAAAAGTACTTATTTTGCCTACTATATGTTAGGAAAGTATGCGATTACAGATGCAGCCAGAATTTACCTTTTTTGATAATTATTCCTTTATATCACGGTGTATCAGCTGATGGCAATTATCTCAAAACAGTCCAATATTGTCTGGCCAATAACACTAATGCAAACCATAGTTTGCTTATGAACCGTATGAAGGCTATTGTGTGCCTGCAGCTTATCCATGCTGACAGACATGGCTTATGTGTGGATGGGATGAGTTTTGTCAACAGGATTCACCTGTATGAGCGCGATGAGAGGAGAAATGACCAGAGTGATGCCGCTGGACAGAAGAGCAGGGAGCTGATAGACCAGAGACTTGCCTGCTCCAGTGGGCATACATACAAACACATCCCTGTCACCTGCGACACACACACACACACACATAAGGACAACAATAACAACACTACCGCACTACCATTCAGCGAGCTCCTGCCATTTATCCCATAACCCAGTATAAATGTGTCATTGTCACCCTTCAGCACTGCTTTCACGGCATCTTCCTGCTGCTGAGAGCGAAACCTGTCGAATCCGAAGTGCTTCTTTAGCGCCCGGTGAATGGCACTCATTATAACTACATCAACAAGCTCAACATTCACTCAACTTTGCTTCATTGAGCTCTATGTCGCGCGCAGATGGCGTCACGATGTGACGCAAATATACTGCGTTGGTTTGAGTTTCGTTTTGTAGCCATCAATCGCATTTTAAGTTTTTTTTTTTTTTTCAACGAGTATTAGAAATGCTTTTTTTTACCTATCTGAAAAAATCTATAAATAGTTTTCTGATGATGCCCTTAACAATATTTAGAAATTAATTAAATAAATTGTTCACTTAAAAATAAAAATTCTGGCATTTTTAACTCAACCTCAAGTTGTTTCAAACATGTATGAAATTATTTATTCTGCTGAACACAATTGGAATATATTTTGAATGTAACTAAACCGTTGATGCACCCCATTGACTTCCATAGTAGTATTTTTTTTCTACTAGGGAGTCAATGGGACAACAACTTTAAAAAAATTACTTTATAAAGAACTCATTTTTTAATTAATAAAAGGGGGTAGGGCCTAAATAATGTAATCGCATGGATTCAAAACATTGAAATGAAAAGAAAATTTACTCATTAACGAGAAATTACAGATTAGACACAATGTGGTTTTAGTCAAAACATATTAATTAATGACTATTTTATAAGCTTACATCCCACCCTCTGTCCAAACAGACCCGGGAATACAAAAGGTGTCAAGTTTTTAAATGCATTAAGTATATCATTTATGTTTTGTACTTGGATTGCTTGTTATTGTTAAAAAGCATGTTCCATACAGTATAAATATTCCATATTTGTTGTGTACCTTTTCCTTTCCACTTTTACTTTAAAATTACAAATTTAAATAAAATGAATGCATAATTCATATTAAATTAATATAAAGATGTATTTGTGCATTTTTCTGGTGCAACACATTAAAATGTTCTATTAAAATGTTCTAATTGATTCACTCAATTTAGTAGTGTCTTGTTTTTTTACCAATCCCTGAATCATATCAACTCTAAACACAATTTCAAATAAATTCATTACTATTAGAACATGCCACTCATTTTAATAAATATAATCTTTAAATAAATACAAATGAGTAATATTTGACAGGTAAATAAGAGTGAACACACAGGGTTAAAGGTATTTCTTTTTATTATTCACATAAAGTGCATTTTTCATGATTTGAGATAGTCATATGAATGAGAAAGTGCAGACAGGGCAGGTGAACACTATTATAAGGTTCAGACACAGAAGCAGCAGCTGAAAGACATCGCACTACCTTGATGACATTATTGGTCTTGGATCGCTGTCGGTCATAAGGACTGACCATCTAATATAGCCCAGTGGTTTATCTAAAGCTAATGAGGTCTAGAATACTGGTTCTCAACTGGTTTTGCTTCAGGAATCAGGACTATATCTTTTTTTACATCAAACGACCCAACACAGTGTGTGTTTATTGTAAAAAAAAAATAGTCCTTAGCATCAAACACTCGACATTTATTAATCTTGCTATGAACTGCATACGCTCAACAATACACAAAACGATTAACATGTATGAAGAACACAATTCTCTTCAAAGCTTGAAGGGTTTCTTATGTCTTCTTATATCACCAGCCACACTGTGGTTGTCACAAACCATTAAAAGTAGGTTAACCTAGGTTTAATGTAGTCTGCGTCATATTTTATTTGGCGAAGCTTTATTTTGTTCATGGTTTCCGAGAATGAGGGGATGTGACGAACATATTTGCGCCAAGATACCTCTAGTGTTGTGTTCCCTTTTTAAAGGGGCTTTATGCAGAAACCCTTGTTTTTAGCGACACCGGTGGCCGTTAAGGGAACTGCAGCCAGCATCTTATTGCTTTCCTCACACTCGTGAACACGTAACGGACAGGAGACTGAATGTGAAACAATTAAAAGTGGGTTAACCTGGACTTAATGTAGTCTGCGTCACATTTTATTTGACGTAGCTTTATTTTGTTCATGGTTTCCGAGAATGAGGGGATGTCTGTCGACCAAGTGACGAATGTATTTGCGCCAAAATACCACTAGTGTTGTGTTCCCTTTTTAAAGGGGCTTTATGCAGAAACCCTTGTTTTTAGCGACACCGGTGGCCGTTAAGGGAACTGCAGTCAGGATCTTATTGCTTTCCTCGCACTCGTGAACACGTAACGGACAGGAGACTGAATGTGAAGCAATTAAAAGTGGGTTAACCTGGATTTAATGTAGTCTGCGTCACATTTTATTTGACGTAGCTTTATTTTGTTCATGGTTTCCGAGAATGAAGGGATGTCTGTCGACCAAGTGACGAATGTATTTGCGCCAAAATACCACTAGTGTTGTGTTCCCTTTTTAAAGGGGCTTTATGCAGAAACCCTTGTTTTAGCGACACCAGTGGCCGTTAAGGGAACTGCAGCCAGCATCTTATTGCTTGTGCTCGCACTCGTGAACACGTAACGGACAGGAGACTGAATGTGAAACAATTAAAAGTGGGTTAACCTGGATTTAATGTAGTCTGCGTCACATTTTATTTGACGTAGCTTTATTTTGTTCATGGTTTCCGAGAATGAGGGGATGTCTGTCGACCAAGTGACGAACGTATTTGCGCCAAAATACCACTAGTGTTGTGTTCCCTTTTTAAAGGGGCTTTATGCAGAAACCCTTGTTTTTAGCGACACCGGTGGCCGTTAAGGGAACTGCAGTCAGGATCTTATTGCTTTCCTCGCACTCGTGAACACGTAACGGACAGGAGACTGAATGTGATTCAAGGTCCCGATCATACAGTAGCGACGGGTTTTTTTTTTCGTTCTACGCTTAGAAGTACAAGTTGTAAACAGCTTTGCAGTGCAGTTAACGAACATCCCGACGCCGTCCACGTTACTGTGAAAGCCTTCGACAGATGAGGTCATTAAAATCACACTATTATGATAGTTTGATTATTAGGCTATGTGAGACTATAGTTTGAATTAGAATCATTACAGTACAGAACGTCTCTTTCGGCATTTTCCTGAACATAAGCATCATATACTTTCGGGAAGCGTGCAAAAACGTCACATCTTTTGGATTTTAACGGGAAAAACGATCCGAGTCCTTCGCATGAATTCAGTCTATACAGGCTAGGAAGTCGGGGAAGATCTGTTTTGTGACATGCTGGTCACACATTGGCAATAAAAAGCAAACAATACATGAAAATTCTTACATAAAGCCCCTTTATAAGTTGACAATCCCACTTACGTTGCCTCCCTAACCCTCTTTTTTTCAACGTAAAGAGGCTGGAATGTGCAAGGCTTCCAGTCTCGTCCGCTTCCAGTTATGCTCCTTCACATTGTACTTTCTTAATGTATTATCCTAATACTAAACTCACGGTTTATAGCGCAAATAGTTTTTACCTTGTTTTCTAGTCATTAACCAATAGCGACTAATGAATCAGACGACTCATTCGCAGAAAACAGCTTTCTTCCGCTAGTGGGAAGCCCAAAGAATACTTCATAAAAATGTATTTGTTGCACTTTCTTGCATGTTTCCCCCTGCTATCTTGCTGAACGTAACATTTTTCAGGCTGCGACCGGTTGAGAACCACTGCTCTAGAGATTAAGCACTGGGCTTTGGTTGGAGTCGATGGGACCTCAACCCCACAGGCACATCCCGGGACACAGGCATTGGCCCCTGTTCCCCGGAGACTTGACCACCAGGTCCTTCCCGATCTCCACCGTTCCGAAGAGCGGGAAGAGCTTCTCGTCGAATGTCTCGTTGTAGGTGTAGATGTGCGAGCGCTTCTCCACGTCATAGAAGGACAGCTGGCCCAGGCCGAAGTCAAGGTAGACTCCGACCTTTCGAGGAATTAAGGATGCCGGCAGGCCAGTGAAGGGCACGGTGAGGGCCTTCAGCTCTGTGCCACGCTCCAGCCGAAGGCTCAGGTATCCCGTGTCGGTGTTCAGGGACTTGAAGCCCTTACGCAAAGCTGACTCTTTCGCCACGCCGATACGCCAGTCCATTTCTCCAACATCCACCTCCCAGTACTGGCGGCCAGAGGCGAAGCCTTCGGACCCGACCGCGCACCACCAACCGTCGAAGCGCTGGTGATAGTTGGGCACGTCTTTGCGCTTGAAACCACAGCGCATGCGCCTCTCATCCTCGGAGATCAGCAGGTCGGGATTGGCCGTGTCCAGGTCAAGGGTCACCTCCACTATGAAGGAATGAATGGAAAATCAAATTATAAACTATGAATCGTTCAAAATGGCTAAAGGGCGGCAAATGTAGGCCGCATTTTAAAGGTGCATTGCGCAACACTTCATGTTAAAAATAGCCGTTTTTCTAACCAATACATGCTTAAAAAAATCGCCTGATGGGCTGAATGAGCCCTTCTCTGATAACTGCTATCGCCTCTATAATCCTGTACAATAAAATAAATAAGAGGGATTCGGGACAGAGTTTGAGACTGGGTGTGATGTCATGCGTGTTCATGCTCGCCTGGCTATGTCTGGCAGGTTTGTGTATTCGTCGACAACTCGAGCGACAAAACTTTAGTCAACTTTCGACAAAAGTAGAAGATGGATTCAAAGAGACCGACTTGTAGTTCATTCCAAACCCCAACGCAAATACAACTTTTGTCTAGTGCCAGGCATCGGAATAAGACGAGAGTCAACATCGGGAAGGCTTTCAACAAATGGAAAGATCTCCGGTCTGCTCTAGGGCTCAAACAGGATCCTATACAAAGTAATAATTTACTGTATATTGTTCATGAACGCATTTCCAAAATAATACAATCATAAGTGGATACAGTAAGCACATAAAACAGTTCAACATAGAGATAGATGGAAACAAAAACCAGAGTTTTCCCTTTACACATAAGTGTGTAATTTACTTAAATGCCTTTCCAGGCGGCTCATGTTAGTATGAAAATATGTACGTACTGGAACGCTCAGGTAAGATGACCTAAAATTATAACAGCCTCCTGTCTGTACTGTCTTGACTTCTTTGCTTTCCTTTCATCACTTTTGCTTTGGTTCTCGTGCACTGACTCATTACTAAACTGAACAGCCAATCAGAGAACAGCTCTCGTTGAATCAGCTTAGTGTGTGAGGGCCTTTATACAAATACTTTTCAGACTCTATTTATAATTCAGACAATATTTTATCAGTATATCAGTATGTATATCTGTATGTCATGCTATACTTGTAATCCCATAATGCTTTGCGACAAGCTGGCAGATTACTTTTTGGTACTAAATCATATTTTAGTATCTTTCGGTATAATTACAAGTAAATAGCTCATTAAATCTGAATTTCACAGTGTTACTTAGCAACATGCTAATAGAAAATTGTATTAACACATCTATTCAAAAATCATCACTTTTATCCAGTAATGATGCATTTAATTGATCAAAAGTGACACTAAAGGCATTCTTAAGCTAGTCCCAGACTATAATGGATGTTTGAGCTGTTTAAAATGAAAGCATCTTGCACTCCCTTGTGAAAAACCTCCCTCTAGTGTTAAATTAGCTCTCCTGGGAGTTTATTTGGCTCCAGACTTAAGAGTGTTAAAGTGTTAAAATATGAGTGTTAAATAAACACTCAAGAGTGTTAAAGTTAATGAGCTAATTAAGTGATTAATTGAATGATAATTGACCATTATTGAAGACACCTGATGTTAACAAGCTGAATCACCAAAGAAGAAAATCTCATTTTCGAAGTCACCATTATGGAGATCATTATTTGCTTTAGTAGGGCTCTTGACCCTTAAACTATTAACATTAGATTTAGTTTGGCTGTTGTATCCGAGTTACAACTGTTAGATAAACTAAGAGAAAAGGTGATCAGGTGGTGTTGATTATGGTGTGACATAATCATGGCTTGACCAGAATCACAAAACTCATTTAGAGCATTAGGTTTACCTCGTTGATTACAGCAACAATATAATTCTATAGCAAGCATTTTTCAGCACTTTGAATATAATCCAAAATATTTTGTAAAATTTGTTCTAATCAAAAGAGTTTGAAAAATTATTTTATTTAGACACACTGAAATCAATAATCAGCCTGTGAATCTCAACAATGGTGACAATAATAAAGCATATTGAAATGCATTATGGGCTCCACCATTCAAAACTCATTCATGGCTCCCATCATGCATTGCAGTATGAATAAATTATGATCTGAAATATTTTAGTACTTTCCTTTTCCTAATGGTTTGTCACCATTGTTGAGATTCATACACTGATTGTGTTACAGTAAGGATGATGCTTTAGAAGGGCAGCTCTCTTTGTAGTCAGAAATACAGCTCGTCTTACCTCCTGCATCACAGATCCAGTCCCACACTAAATACAACAAAAGCAACAATTAGCTCAAGTTCACAATGAATCTTAATAATCAATCAATATATTCAGAAGCACTAACATGTGACTCACCAATGTGAGGAATATATGGGGTGGCACCTAGTGAGTGAAAAACAGCAAAAAAGAGAATTGAACAAAAATATATATTAATACCATGCATAAAATGTACCCACCACCTGACACGACATGAATGTATTTTCATCTAAATCAATACACTGCAAGTGTTATATGGATGTTTACATGTGCATCACATGTCAGGGTGAGCAGCACACGTTTTAGCCAATCAGAAACACTCTCGGTCTTCAACCTTCATCCTTCCCTAGCACTTTGTAACAAATCCTTCCCTTTGTTGACAATGGCTAAAGTCGCTTATAGCATTTTTGATATCTTTGACAACATTTAAGACACTAAAGAGATGATCTGACCTATTTTCTGGCTCCTCTGTTTCCACATGAGCCACTTTTGGGGAATGTTTTCCTGAACACACAGATAAATCAGAAAGGTTTTGTGTTACTATAAAGCCGTTTGTTGGCTGAATCCCCCTCTGAAGTTCCTGTGCACTGACTTCCTTCATACCTTGTCTAGTTCTTTGTTGATGAGTGTCCAGAACACCAGCTCCACGGCCGACTGCAGGGTGGACATCCGTCCTCTTTTCCAGTGCGTCTCAAAGTCATCCAAAACCGCCACCACCTGCTCTCCAGGCCAGACACTTTGCTGCACACGGGATGATGTAAAGATGCCAGTCAATGCAAATGACATGCAACTATTCACCACCAAAAACAATACATAAAAAAATAATAGCATACAGATCTTAGAATGTAATTTAAAACCTGTACGCTAATACTTTTCTCCACTGAACACAAAGGAAGCTCGGCTCTATGGGTTTTAACATTGTTTCAGTTTCTTCCTTTAACCCTGTAAAGCTTGACATAGATGCAAAATGTCCATTTTTGTGAAATGAAACAGTTTATGAAACAAAAATGAATGTGTTTTATATCATATTTGATCCATCAGGCTTTTATGGAACATATACAGTGTAAACCCTAACTTAAAAACCATAATTAATAGATTTGAGTGGAGCCAACTCAAATTAAACAAGTTAGTTCAATCAAATTAACTTTTTTGAGTATTCAGACATTTCTTTTTCTTTTGAGTTCACAAAACTGACACATTTTGTAATCTGAATTGTTTCATTGTTTTGAACTTGAACTTTTTAATTTAGACAAATTTAAATTGAACTGTAACTGAGCTGTGATTTCTATTTCCCAGCATGCTTTGCCATGACACTCAAAGGGGAAAGTTAAGTGCTCTCTAGAAGCTAAAATTAAGTGTTAAATAATGTTTTGTTTTGTGCAATATTAATGTTAAGTGGGAAATTTAGTTGTATTTAATATTGTGTAATGCTAGTTTAGAAGAGTTTCTGTTGAAGTTTCTTGTTCAGCGTGAGCTTAGTTTGCGATCAGATGTTAAATGTTTTATTGCACTATTGTACTCATTCAGCAAGTGCTATGCTACTGCTAGCAAGGTAGCATTTATTGAATGTTTCCAAGTTTACAGTACTAAAAATATCTAAGTTGAGATTACATAACAATTTTAAGTATGTGTTGTGTATGTAATGTGTATGAATTAGCTGAATTTCTGCTTAACACATTTTTTAATTTACTGATTATTAAGTTTTGATAACTTATTCAGGTTTACAATATTATAGTGACTATACGGAGATCATAATTAAAAGAGGCCCAAAAATCTCAGGTTATGACTGATTGTAACCCTACTTCTCTGAGAAGGGAACGAGACGCTGTGTCGACGACGCCTTGGGAACGCCTCCGCGTGATTACTTCTGAAGCACGTATGTCAACTAGTCCAATGGAAAGAATGAGTGTCACGGGCGGATGACACAATTGGAAAAAGTCTTTCCATTGGACTACGTGCTTTAGAGGTAATCACGCGGAGGCGTTCCCAAGGCATCTTCGACGAAACGTGAGTTCCCTTGAAAGGGAACTGAGCAAAAATATGCAATTTGGTGCAGATGCTGATATTTTTATAGCCAAAAGGCAAGATAACATTCTGATAGTTTGTATTATGTTTAATGTAAATGTTTCTAAAAAAAACATTTGTATGGATAATCCTAAATTGCTTCAGTCCAGAAGGTGTTCATCTTGAAATATTACCAACAATATAAAAGTTATTCTGATGTTTACTTTATAAAAATCAGTAAAGATTTCACAGAGGAAAAACACGAACCACAAGCTGGAGGTTGGCATTTGTACAATTACACTAAAAAGCCTTTTACATGCTAAAAAAGAATAAACTATCAATCAGATGACAGAAGGCATGTGGTAGATCGTGTGCTTTTCAGCAAAGTATTGATCATGTCGATCATTTACTTTAGAGGCCTTAGAAACTTGATCATCAAATACCATACACTAGGGGTTATAGGGCAGAAAGCCATGGAGAAGGTAATTTTCAGGCAGGTCCAGTTTGATGTGTGAGTACCTCAGGTTGGGCCCTCAGGTCTTTGGTCCAGGTGAGGATGAGTCTCTTGGCATTCTCTATGTCCTGATCCTTCCAGTCGCTGCTCTCTGGCCAGCCGTCCGTCTGCATTGGTCTTTTCTGTTATAACAATATTTGGTGAGAAGACCTAGTGATTTGCAGCATTTGGTTTCAGTGGGTGCAGAAAAATGTCATTAAAGGTATAAATGTGCATCTCACCTTGCTCTCTAGCAGAGATGCCCACTCCAGAATGAAGGCCCTGCAGGAGAGAGTCGGCCAAACATCCTCACTATTTGAGACGTGCCCCAAAACCTCCGACCTCTGTGACCAGCAAGAGAGAAGAAACACACACCACACACACATGTATAGAGTATATATATATATATATATATATATTATTTTTTTTTATTTTTTTTTTTGTGAATATATCATTAAATTTGGTTTCCTTTCATTTAAAATCCACTTCAAAATGGAAGGCAATTAAAGGGTGTTTTAATTTTATTTAATTTTATTTATTTTTTTTAATATGTTCCTTGGGGTTCACTTAAAATATTCATAAAGTATATTGCACAAAAAAAAAATACATATGTGGAAATGCTCAAGCTGCCTTCGCTCGAGAATATTTACAGAACCAGATGCCTACGGTGTGCCAGACATCATTCAAGGAACTGAATTCTACTTAAAAAGTTTTATTTAATATATTTTTCTTATTGACTATATTTTACTATTTATACTTTTTTGTTCTGCTTGTCTATATTTGTCTGTATACATGTTTTTATGTGAATGAACCACTGAGGAGAAGCACAAAATTTAATTGCACGGTCATACATCTATTCTATTCTATTCTATAATGGGCTCTATTCACTTGTGGGTATCACCTACACTGTAAAAAATAATCGTGATGCAAAACTGTTATTTGGTTAACAGAAAGTTTCCGTACTATACACGGTAAATAACTGTGATATAATTTTACTGTAAAATACCGTTAAATTTACAGTTTTTGAAAGTGAAAAAGAACTCATTGTAAAAATTTACAGTGAAAAAACGTAAATTGACATTCCCACAATTCCATGTGACACTTCACACTTTATGTATTTTTGTTGAAATAACTAAGGTTCCTCATAGTTTTTTTGTTTTTGTTTTTTCTAATCAGTTATGTAGATTAGGGTTTTACGTTACATTTAATGTTGTTAAATTAATGTTTATTGCATGTGTGTTACCATGATGGTGTTATAAAAGTATTAACCTTCTAATGGAAGACTGCTTGTGATGAGCTTTGATTGATCATGTGACTCTCATCAATGCTGTGATGGTTGATGGTTGTCAGTGTATTACAATGGTACAAAACAGATATCAATTTATCAAAATGTTGGTAAATCAACGTTTTATCAGAAAAAAAAAACATGGTTTATTACTGTAAATTTTAAGTTAAGTCTGTAAAACCATTAACGTTCCTACCGTATTTTTAACAGTGAAGTTCTGGCAACCACAGCTACCGTTTTTTTTTACCGTAAGAATTAGGGATTTATTTTTTCAGTGTATGGTGCGATGAACATTGATGTCTTGCTCTGGAGGCGGTCATATGCAAATGTATTTGCCTGTGTGACATCACAGATCCTGTAATATCAAAACGAGCTGTTTTTGGAGCTTGATTAAATAAATTATTTGTTTTACATGTCAAAATATCAAGGTCAATTTGATTTCTCATGTCATGACCCCTTTAAATTCTGATTTTGCCCAACCTTTTCTAGATGTGATTATTCGGCCATCAGCTCTGATTTATACTGCATTGGTCATGTGTCATGTGTCTGTACCTGACAGACGCGTCCCAGATCCTTGGCGAGGTCCACAATGAACTGCTGGCTCTCGTCCAGCGGTTCTCTCTTTTCATTCTTTGCCTTCTTACGAAAATCCTGTCCACAAACAAAAAAAAAACATTATTAAAGCTATTTCATTTCCAGTCTCAGTGATGGACTGTCCACAGGCAGTCAGATTAATCATTCTGTTCGTTTTCCTTATGATGGACAGATATCCCCTGCGCATTAAAACAAAGCAAACTGTGATTGGCCTTTTCATGAATGGTGTATTCCTGTCATGTGTGCGGTTCTTGACTACAGTGAGCTGTAATGTAGACCAGACTTTATGCTGATAGTCAAAAATTTGACTACATGAGACATGGCTGTATCCGAAATCGCATACTCTCTGATTAAGTATTTCATTTCAATCCACAAGTATTTGTTAAGCGAACGCTAAAAGATTACATACTATATAGCCTGAATGTGTGTAATATGAATGCAATTCAGACATCATCCACCTTATTAGCGTTATCATGTGACCTATGATGTAATAACAAGCGCAAAAACTTAAAAGGTATGAGCGACAATTTATTTTCGATTGAATTTATTAATGTTATCCCGAGTTTCTCCCTGTTATTTTAAGGATGCACAATTTGGCTTCTTTTTATTTTTAATTTTAAGAGAGGTTGAACAGTAGGGCTAAACCAAATAACTTATTTCACCTTTTTTATATATTTTGTTAAAGTTTTCATGCTTTTTTATTTTATTTTTTTATTGATATATACATGTATAAATGGTGCTTTGCTTTTATCGTCATTCTTTGTATGTACAGTAATTTTGACATTTTCTATACTTTTTGATACCTTGAAAAAAACAAGGTTTAAGCGACAGCTGCACTAACATCAGTAACTCGACAGCCCTACCCAGTACGGTTTCCCTCAGCGTTTGTAATGTCTGCACAAAGGAGACGGGCCGCTACTTGAAGTTCTCGCCTTTGATGAACACTGTGGATTTTATACTCGAAAAATTAAGTATCGTAACTTAAATATCAAGATTACCCCAAAACGAATTGCTAGCCCACCCAACACTTACAAACAATAATAATAATAAATGCAGACCAATCAGATGAGAGGTATGGGAGAAATGGCAGATACTGTTTTCTCCTATTATAAAGTAGGTAAGTACATAGACATAATACATAGATGCCCTATTGGCCGCTGGAGCGTACGTCAACGGCGCCGCCATATTGGGGAGAGCAACTTTCCCATACCTCTCATTCCGGGAATTGAGAAAAATGCCTGTTTTGTGTGCTGCTTGGGGCTGGACAAATCGCCACACAACTAAAAACAGCTTTCGAGGAAGTACCTTTCACAAGCAAGACTGAACGTTTGTTTTTGGTTGTATTTGGTCATGATTTAATTAGTAATAGTAACGTTTAGAGGTTAAATACTACTGTTAATGTGTCAGGAAATGTAGTTTTAATAGTTTTTCAGTCAACAATGTAGTTGTTTAAAGCTCAAATGTGTGGTTTGTTTATAAAGATAGTGCCTATTAAAACATTTGTTCTGAAGTTTTCGGAGTTGTAAGCTGCGCCCAGCGCTCGTCTCCCCCGCCTGGAACAGCCGTACCTCGGCCAGTGCTTCTGACGGTTGCCGCTGGCTCGGATGTCTCTAGTCTAGAGGTTAAACATGAGATATAATTCGTATCATTTGTGTTTATCTTTGGTCTCATTAATCTATAAATGGTTTTGGCTGAGGGCAAAGTAAAGTTTCATAACTTTATATTTAGGCTATTTTAACATTGTATCCTGCTGTATGTTTGACTGAAGCTACTTCTGTTATAATGGCTATTACTGATCAATAAAACTGAAATTTAACACAAAGAGCTAAATATTAAATATATGTCACTATTTAACTTATTTGTGTGTGTGTGTGTGTGTATTCTTTGTAGTTGAAATGTCTTATTCTATTGCTATTATTGTAGCATTATTAATAAACTATAGTATCAATATTTTTATATAATTATACTAGTATTCATTACCATTTTATTTGCTGTATACTATTTGTTTATTTTATTGACTAAACTATTTACTATTACTTCTCACTTTATGTTAATTACTATTTGCATTGCACTGCATGCCCAGTTGTACCACAACATGTATTATCATAAAGGATCCAGTTATCAATGTTATTGCTAAAATCTGGTCAATCACATAAAATGCTTTTTCCACAATGAGCAAACTTAAATATCTCAGTATGGGGGTCTTCACCATTCTTTTCTAAGAATGTTTTTATCCAGAAAAACGCAGCTCACCCGTTTACTTACATTTAATTCCAGTGCAGTCTTGACCTCCGCAAAATGGCGGACCCGTTGACGTATCGCAGCAACGTTCCAAAGCGGCCAATAGGGCGTCTATGTATATATTATGTCTATGGGTAAGTAGGCATATTCGGACGCAAATATGCATGTCAGAATCTTGCGAGAATAAGTACACCATCCAGATATTTATTTCCTACTGTTTTATCAATACTGAGGATTCGGACATAATCGTTCACCTACTGCATTTATAGTAGGGAAGTATGTGGTTTCGGACACAGCCATGTTGTCATTTCAGACAGTTTATGTTGTTCATGAAGGCTACGGCTAACAATCAAGGACAGCGTTTGATTAAAATGCAGCTCATGCATGATCTACTTTCTCTGTGTTAAGTCTCATGAGCAACAAAAGACTCACTGCTATTGAAATCAGTTACAATGACCAGCTAAACAGGCCTTTTTTTCACTTTCGGACTTCAGGATAGACTAAAGAAGGACAAACTTTAAGTTGTTTAAAGCAACAGGTTCCCCTGAAGTCCCTCTTTTTTCATCATTGTTTGTAAGCCACTTAGACAACCGAGATATTTTTGCAAGGTACCTTAAACTTCTCGGCAATGTTCTTGGTTGGTTCGACCAGAAACTGAAGACACTGCATCATCATGGCTGGAGCTCACAGAAATCCTCTAAGTGAGCAAATAACACAGAAAACAACAACAACAAAAAAAACAAAATGACTTAATAGCACAGAAAAGACATGTGCTGACCTAGCAGACTGTTTGTTGACTTTCACAACAGATCAATGATTAAACACTAAGCAGATTTATATGACTCATTTTTATGACCAAAACAGTCAGACCTTGCCCTTGACCTAAATAAAGCAAAGCTTCAGGAGTTTAGTGGTTGTTGATACGACCCTTGTGAAAAGGAGCGTTTAATTTTTACTGAATGTGCACTTGTGGTGTACTTCAAATCCTAAAAGTATATTGTAAAAAAACTGTATTCGCAGATATATAGTGAAGTGAAATTTTATTTGAAACACAACACTTAAAGAGAGACACTTTCATGACTGTATCTTAACACACTTAAGTAGACTTAAAGCGCACTTTGTAAAAATATCACATTAATGATGTGTTAATAATCATTTGTCATGCTTTAAAGAAGTGCACTTATTTTGATGTGTTGAGTAACATACTAAAGCACATATAAAGTACTTGATTACAATTTTAACCGTAGTCTTATTCGATTTTACGTTTATATTATTTCCATAAAAATACCTATTTTATTATGATATTTTATTATTTTCTGAATATAAAAAGTCTGCTAAATTCTCCACCACCAACCAAGAGTGCTGTGGGTCACCTATTTTATAATCGGTCATCTACGCAAAAGCTACTCGTCCATCATTTGAATAGACTATAAACATGGGGATGAACACACACGTGACGCAAAGCAGTCTGTAATTCAGTCTGGTAGAGGATTATCCAAACAACTCCTGTTGAAGAACAGCCTAACTTATAAAACAAGGAAGAATTTAGTTGCTAATTAACTGTGAACTAAATAAGCCATTATATATAACATAAATTATGACTGAATACAGCATTAGCATGCAATAGTGTCATGAGTTAAATATCTGCATATATGTTGGACTTCAAAAGGATTGTGATTGTGAATATCATCAAGCAGTTAATATAATGAAAACCTTTGTAATGTTATGACTGCACTGTAACGCTGACAAGCAGTGTAGACCTGCTGAGTAAATGCTGGACACATGACTTTGCTGCACTGCACAAGATCTTTCGTGTGTATTGATGAGGTAATGCCCTTGAATGACATTCTCAAATCAGTCCGACACAACAGCATCTGCAGGAGCTTCACACACTGCGAGAGTATGTCAACAACGCCATGATATCTTTTCGTGAAGTATGAGAAAACAACATGCTGCACAATATGTGCGAGAAATAGACATGCAGAAATAAATCATCATGCGTAGCTGCATATGTCTATGCATTTGCTGTACCTGCAGGAGGTGTGCTGTGTCGCTGGATGGATCCTTCGCAGGAGAAAGTGTCAGAAAGTGTCTAGCGAGTCAAGTGGAGAATGAAGACCGCAGCGAACACTTGACCTTGTTTACAAGAGCCGAACACGAGCCGAACGTCATTCGGGAATTTCCGGAAAACAGACGAGGAATGAAAGCGACTTCATATTTATTGTGGTGAACAATGCTAATATAATTCATAAGTCATTGTACATGGAGAATCGGTTTCGGCACAACATTTATATTGTAAACCAGCTTATTGACAAGAGTGGGCATTTTTACACATACACAAATTTTATTTGAAAATATGGTTTATAAATAAATAAAAAAGCTGTATTGCCTTTTCCTATTTCTTTTTGGACTGACTTTAAAAAAATAGACCAGCCAAAACAATTAACGACATTTAACTTTGTTTTCAAAACCCATTTTTCTGAAAAACAAAATTATATTTTTCATCTTTTAATTCTTTTGGTGAAGTTTTATGTTCATAAGACAAAAATAACTCAAAAGAACCCATTGAATATTACTTTATATAACACCGATATCACAATATACTTTCAAACTCTTTCAAACAAGAGATTTATAAAAAAAAAAACAATACAATTTTAAAGCTTTTTAAATTCATTTAAATGCCCTGACATTATAAAGCAGGGGAGACCGGGGTGTCACCTTGGACTATCTGTGTGTTTTGATTCACCACGTGTTCCCCTCGTCTGAGTTCTCCGCCCTCATCTGTTGCCATGGACACTCATCACCTCCCGCACAGCTGCTTTGTCATTTTGTAATCACCGTCACTGTGTATTTAAGTTCCTGCCTGTCTTCACTCCCTTGTCCGGTATTGTTCGTGTCTACACGCTGTCAACCTGTTCCTGAGCTTCATTTATTAAAGTTGTGTGTTAATTCTACCTTCCTCTTCGTCTTCCTTGGTCAGCCCCGTGACACGGGGACAGTTGCAACACTTTTTGAATTTGGCTCCGGAGACGGGTTGGATAAGACAAACCAATTGTTTACAATAATCTTACATCTGTCTGTTAATAGTCTAAACCATTTAGATATAATTACAGAATCTAAAAATTTTTCACAATTTGCTTTTGAATGTTCGGGGATGGTTGCAACATGTTACAAATACAATATATGTCAGTGTAAGCAAAATGATTATTACCAAAAATGTAAGTTATAATAATATCACAGTGTTATTTATTCATCAGCTTTGATTAGATTAAATTGTAGATTTATCTAGATGAATAGGCCTTATGTTCAGATGTCAAATATTCAAACTGATATAAAATACAGTTGGCTTTTAGTGACAAAGGAAGAATGGAACAATTTGTGAGGCAATTATCTTTTATTAAGCCTATTTTCATGTAAAACTTGTTTTAAAAACTATTTTATATTATGTTTATTTATGCATTGTTCATGATTATTTTATCATGGCTGACAGGAACTGTTGCAACTGTCCCCGTTCCTGTCAGCCATGATCTTCATGTAAACAAGGCTGTATTACAAGGCTGTAATACATGCTAACCATACAGCTTAAAGTTAATATATCACTCATTTAAACCATATAAGTTTAGGCTGAATCACATAAAAAGTGAAAACAGTATAACAAAAACTAAAGAAAATAAATACTTTCCTACTTCAAGAACAGTTTTTGTCAATAAATCCTGGGGCAGCTCAGAAATCTCCTTGATTTTTCTCTGCAAGATGGGGCATCCAATTGTGCATGTGCTTATTACGTACTTACTGTCTCTATGAGGATTTGATACACACATTTATTCTGATTTATTTCAGTGAAGTTTATCAGTATTAATGTAATGAAGAGGAAATAAGAGTCTATAACATCTCACTGTTACTGGTTTATCGTGCGGCTCAAAGTATTATGGGTAAAATCTCTCTATATCTGTTCTGAAACATCAACACAGTTTCACTGATGATCCAGAACCAACCCCAAACCCAGGATAGAGCGGCTGAGTGAATGTGGTCTGGACTGTGTGGATGAGGCTCATTGTGTCAGAGACGCTGTAGAAGGACAGAGTTCCTGCACTGTGATCCACACACACTCCTATTCTACTGCTGACGGACTTTACAGGGAGAGGAGTGTGTATGTTATTGTGACAGAATGAGTAACTGGAGGAAGAGCAGAACAAACTCCAGGACTGATCATTATATCCAAACAGACACTCATAACCCGATCCCTTCCTGCTGATGCTCTTATATGACATTGATATATCAACACGATTCCCACTCCACTCAATCTCCCAGTAACAGCGTCCACACACACTCTCTCTACACAACACCTGCCACCAATGATCAAATCTGTCTGGATGATCAGGATACGGCTGCTCTGTGTCAGTGTAAGTAATAACTCTGTTCCTCTTAGACAGACGGAGGTGTTTATTCACTGTGTTCAGATCCAGAGTGAGCTGATGGGAATCTGATGGAGAGAAAACACATCAGAAACAGGAATTATGAATCTGTCTGATCTTTTAATGTCTCTGAACTCTTCATGAATCAATGTTCAATGTATCATCAGTGTCTCAGTACAGATGATCAGATATCCTGAGCAAATCCTCATTTACATGATCAATTATAAAACTCTTCTATCATGATTTATTTCTCCTTCTACAGGAAGAACATGAACACACTCAGTGAGTTTTTCTGCTTGTTTTCTAGTGACTCACATTGTAGGAAGTCGTTCCTGGTCTTGGGATTCATGTTGGTGAAAGTGACTGTGGAAATAAACAGACATGAACAGTGTGAAGAGAAATGACAAGATCAAATACATTCATTTCTGAGACATTTCTAATATAATGCTGTATGATATTAGATGATGGACTCATTTCTGAGAGCTGATGAATAATCTCCAGGGGCTTCATTTATAAAACACACACATTGGATTGATCCGTTCATCCGATTGTTCAGATTTGGGCTCTTTCTCACACGTGTGTATAAAGGAGGCGCAGGACTTTACCTCCGTCTGAGATCTTCTTGATCTCCTCTTTGCAGAAATCCTCCAGTTTGTCTCTCAGCTGACGGACAGATTCTCTCACGCCATCAAAAGAGGAGAGAGAACCGAAGGGAACGTCGGGTTCGTCTGTAGATTCAGGAGGAGCTGAGAGAGACTGGAAACTCTACAGAAAACACAAATCAAAACTCATCATCTCCACACTTCAGCCAATAACCTGCACTATATCAGATCTGTGCGGCTCTTGTAGACTTGACTTCTCTTCAGTGACTCGCTTCAATCCAGCACTTTCACACAATCAGCTCATTTTTAATGGTCCATTTCCAGGGCTTTGTAAGTGCGTCTCTTTAAACAGAAGATGATCAGATGAGCGTCTGACTGATGATTATATGATAACACAACACTCGACTGAATCTGACTGAATTCCTGACAACATCTCAGTCAACGGCTCATTCTGCTCTCATCAAATGTTTCTCTGTCATAGCAGGATCTTGCTCAAGTCCACTATGATCCTGTTCTCCTAGATCTCTGTTACCTGCAGGAACTGGATGTGATCTTGTGTGTGTGAAAGCTGCTCCAGCTCAGCGTCTCTCCTCCTCAGATCATTGATCTCCTGCTCCAGTCGCTCCAGTCGTCCTTCAGCTCGACTCACTGCAGTCTTTTCCTGATCTCTGATCCGCTGTGTCGCCTCAGAGCGGCTTCTCTCAATGGAGCGGATGATCTCAGTGAAGATCTTCTCACTGTCCTCCACTGCTGTGTGTGCAGAGCGCTGTTACACACACATCACAATCACACAGTGAGTTCAGTGAGTCCAAACTGAGACGTCTCACACTTCTCTTCTTCTCCAGACTCACCTTATGAGACTTCACATCCTCTCTCAGCTGATGAAGATCTTTCTGTCTCTGCTGGATTCTCTGACGGATCTTCATCTGCGTCTCCTTCAGCTGTTTCTGGAGGACAAACCAATGACAGGGAATGACTCATAAAACTACTGTCATACAAACATTAAAGTTACATGAATCCAGAATTGCTGGAGGTTAAAGATCTTGCATGGTAAGTTTTTACTGTCTGGTTCAAACCACAGATTCATGGTTTCCTGAAATGAATGTCAGCAGTATTTCATCAGTAACTAGTTTTATATCATTAGTATCATCATTTACTCTTCCTCAAGTCACATTGAAAGTCAGTGGAACAAAACATTTTCAAGCTCCAAAAATGAGAAAAAACAAATTAAACAACTAGTGGTAAAAGAGAGGAGTACGCTAAATAAAATATGGTGACACGTCAATAACATCAAACCTCATTGTGACCCACTTAGGATTTAAGTATATAATTTCACTAGTTCACACTTACATAAAATTAGAGGGAGAAAGTTTAATGCATATTTGGTGTGCTGTCCGGGGGAAAGGCTTCGAGCTCGGAATTTGGCCCGAATCCGTAGTACTCCCCCGGTGTGTAAGTGCTTATGACAAGAAATGAGGAGAAAGGGGTGGTAGAGGGATGCTGCAAAACTGCCAATGCAACGAGGTGAGACCGCTGGGTATATACTGTATACCTCTCTTCGTTGATTGCTGAGTACTCTCCTCTCATGTTAATTCTCTGCGCGTGCTCCTCCTGAACGTTAATAAAACATAATTTAACTATTTCTCACTTATATAAAATTAGAGGGAGAAAGTTTAATGTGTATTTCGCGTGCTGTCCGGGGGAAGGGGTTCGAGCTCGGAATTCAGCCCGAACCCGTAGTACTCCCCCATAAATGCCAGGTAACTCGGGACAGCACTCGTAAAATAATTTAAAATTAACCCCCCAAAAAAGTGAAGGGCACGCGAAGGTATTTTCAGCTTAACAGTTCGACCGGGAGGGCTCTCGCAGCATCCGACGGGAGCTTGGATGCTCGCGGCATCGGACGGGTAAGCCCCGCCAGCAGTTGAACTGCAAGCTTGAGTACGGCGCGAGATTTATGCGAGCATGATTCAGGAACGAATTTTAACCGTTCGACTGGGAGGGCTCTCACAGCATCCGACGGGAGCTTGGATGCTCGCGGCATCGGACGGGTAAGCCCCGCCAGCAGTTGAACTGTAAGCTCGAATACGGCGCGAGATTTTATGTGATCGTGATTCGAGAACGAATTTAGTCGTTTGACTGGGAGGGCTCTCA